GAGGACGTCAAGGATGGGGTGGAGCAGAAGCTCTCCGAAGTTGTAAATGCTTGTTGAAACAAGGGCAGCAATGCTGAGGTGGTAGGCTCTCTTGTGTCGCTCCTCAGGTGTCATTGCGTTGAGGTCAATGCAGGCAAGGTAGAGGAGAGCAGTGCGGTAGTAGTTGGAGAAGTCCATCTTACGCTGAAGGAGGGGTCAGCGGGGTTCACCAGATATCCAAAGTCTGAGATGAAGGACATACCTGATAGTAGATGGCATTTGCATCATAGAAAGCAGCATGGACCACATTCTCTACAGAGTCGAAAGAATCCAATATCCGCTCGGCTGTATCAAGGTCCTTTCGCGCAGCATCTAGCTCCTCCAAGTCCAGCTTTGCTTGGGCGACAGCAACCAAGGCATAGACATAAGCATCTTGGGAGTTCTCGTTATCAACCTTCTTGGCGACTGATTGCAGGAAAGAAAGGCGCTGCTCGTCTTCTGTGTTGTTCAGGAACCATCGGTCAGCAACCCGCCGGCTTCGGAGCATATTGCATTTAAATCTCACCTTCACACTCTGTTGCTGCTTTCAATGCTAGGTCCACAAGCTTCAACTGGTTGATCTTGTCGGCAAACTTGAGAATAAAGACTCTGTAGAATGGTAGTCGTTGAGGTGCGCTCTCTGGGTGGCTGAAGAACTCGACAAGGGCGTCAGTGAGCTGGTGCCAAAGCTTGCGCTCCCAGAAGTTCTCAAAGTCGAGAATGAGAGGCTGGAGCTCCTCGGGAGCTTCATCGCGCTGCTCGGCAAGAAAGTCGGAAATGGTCTCGTTGCTCATGATGGCGGGATTCGTATTTTAGGTCGGTGGAATCGCTGGGTATTTTATGGGTGACGTGCACAGCGACTGAAGCTAGCTTGCCTGCAGCCGTAATCTATTGGCGCGAACTGCTGCACCGAAGCTAATTTTTGCGAATTATGATTCCCAAAGGTGTGAGTATGGCCTCTCCTCTATTGGATCGTATTGTCGTCGGGCGGCCGTCGAGATAATCGGTGAAGCTGGTGTGGTTGTATGTAGAGGTTGATAGTTGCTTCAGTGGAGTGTGGAGGGAGGTCCTTAGCTCATCAATGAGGCTACCAGGCAGCCTGGTCGTCGCAACGTAGAGGCGCACGGGCCATTTCGACCTCTGGAGGAGCACTCGAAAGGCGCTAACCAATGACAAGCTGCAAGATTTCAGTGACCCATCACGTGATCTGCAATTACCGTTCCCCGAGGCTCTAACTTGGCTAGCATCACCAAACACTGCTATCGAGACGACGAGACGTTCAACGGCCAATTGCGAGGCACAGCAGCGTTTTGTCACGCAATCTGTATATTCGCAACAATGGCTTCGCCTCTCTTTGCTGCGCGGGCGGCCCGCAAGGCTGCCTTCAATGTCACCGGCAAGCGATACCTATCCGATATTTCCATTACTCGAACTGGCAAGCCTATCATACGTGTTGAGGGAGGCCGGTAAGCTCAACCACGGCCCATTGGCACTATTCGGATCTCCTCTAATGCTATTTCACTTCTAGTTCATCCCTCGGAGGTACCATGATCGAGCTACGATGACCACGAACAACACTGACGAGAGGAAACTAGGCCATACTGTTACCGTATTTGGCGCAACCGGCCAACTAGGACGATACATTGTCAACCGACTGGGTGAGCCGACCTGAGCCAGGAATTGGATCCCAGGAATGGGCAATTGGAATACTGATTCTGGCATTAGCCCGTCAGGGATGCACTGTCGTTATTCCCTACCGCGAGGAGATGTCCAAGCGTCATCTTAAGGTCACTGGAGATCTTGGCCGTGTTGTCTTCATTGTACGCCTCAATTCGTCCTGATATGTTCAGGAACCTTTCAGTAACTCTCTTACTAGGAGCACGACCTTCGAAACACCCCTTCGATCGAGGCGAGCGTCCGACATTCCGATGCCGTTTTCAACTTGATTGGCCGCGACTATCCTACCAAGTATGTCTACGATACAGACCAATGGATAGGATGGGAACTAAATGATTATCAGGAACTTCTCTTTGGAGGATGTGCACGTTGAGGGAACTGAGCGAATTGTCGAGGCTGTTTGCAAGTACGATGTCGACCGCTATATCCACGTTTCCTCCCACAGCGCCAACTCTCAGTCCGTCTCCGAGTTCTACCGAACAAAGGTTTGTGGATCGTCGGCTTGGTCAATGGAGCGAAATGCTAACAAACGACTCAGGGTCGAGCTGAGGAGGTTGCCCGACAACTTTTCCCTGAGACCACTATTGTCCGACCTGCGCCCATCTTCGGTTTCGAGGACAACCTGCTGCTGAAGCTTGCTGGTGTCACCAACCTCTTCACTTCCAACAACATGCAGGAGAAGTTCTACCCCGTTCACGTAGGTTTTTGTCAGAGTGCCTAGGGTTAAAGTTACTAACCGCCACAGTCTATCGACGTTGGTGCTGCCCTTGAGAAGATCTTCTATGACGACACAACCGCTGGCCAGACTTTTGAGCTTTACGGACCCAAGAAGTACAGCATGGAGGAGATTTCCGTAATGGTTGATAAGGAGATTTACAAGCAGCGACGACACATCAACGTGCCCAAGGCCATCCTTAAGCCTGTTGCTGAGATCCTAAACAAGTTCCTCTGGTGGCACACCTTGTCAGCCGATGAGGTTGAGCGTGAGTACCTGGACCAGGTCATTGACCCTGAGGCCAAGACCTTTAAGGATCTTGGTATTGAGCCTGGCGACATTATCAACTTCACCTACCACTACCTGGTAAGTGCCCCTATCATGGTCGTGAAAGTCACAAACTGACACCCTTATAGCAAGGATTCCGAAGTCAGAACTTCTACGATCTCCCCCCTGCAACAGAGAAGGAGAAGAGGGAAGAGAAGAAGTACATCCATGTCTTGGATGAGCTGTAAAGAAAATGAATTTAAATGTTTTGCTTATTGCGAATGCTGGAAAGGCGGTTGGGGATTCACGGCTGAGCGGACAAGTCGACAATAGTCCGTGTATATAGGGCCGCATAGACTAGAGAGTATGCGAGTTCGAACAATTGTACAGGTTTTCTTTGGGTTGAGATGATTGATATCAGATAATATGAAGGTTAAGAGAATCGAATCATCCACACGTGGCTACCCTGTAGCTAGCTGGCTATCCATCATCGCATATGCAGCTCTTTGATAGCGAGAGTCTAGACCGTCGAGGAAGTAGTGGTAGGCAGTAAAAAGGACCCCGCCAAAACCCTCACACAAAACCTTTTAGGTATCACATCGCATTGGAGCGACCGCATAGCAAACCCGAACAAGATACGTTTTGACGACAACATTCCGATGTCTTTTGATGATGAAGAGCCCATGTAAGAGATAATAGTCTACAAAACATTCATGTCACCCCAAGTTACATGGGCAGGGCCCAGTTTACTGACTTTGGCTGGTCTGGTCTCTTCAGAAGTCTCTCGAGTCACGCCTTGGCCGCGCTGGCCGAGTTCCACGCCGAAAAGGACGCCCATGAAAAGACATTTGAGAAGCTGAGGACCGGCGCCGCTCCGAGAGCCGGAGCCGGACTCGGCGTCGTCGAGCCGGAGGACGAGGACCCTGTCGCGGAGGATGCGGACGATCAACCGCTGAGCATGGCGGCCTTTACGGAGGATTGGAACGAATCGCAGTTTTGGGTACGTAAGGCTCCTCTCGTCCAGTTGTCTTGCGCCTTTTGGCTCTGGCGGTGGAGACTGATGGCATCGCGATCGGCTTCTGGGATAGAGTCTCTGCCTTTGCCTGTCTGAAGTTGGGTATCCATTACGTACTGGGCTGGTCTTGGCACTACAACAACTTCATGATGTTGACATCGCGAAAAGAAATGCATAACTTACTAACATGGGCCCGACGATCTAGTTCCTCGACGAAACAGCCTTTGCTCTGGCCGATCAGCTCCTCGATGGCGCATCGTCAAGCTCGACTATTGGTGTAGTCTCGACACCGAGTGTGTTCATTGCGCTCAAGAACCGTCTTGTAAGATCAACCCTGGCTTTTGTCATGCCCAGCCAGGGCTTGATATGTAGTTAAAACCCAGAAACTGACTGGGACACACAGAGATTCTGGCCTATTGAAGACCGACCTAAGCTGGTCTTGCTCGAACATGACCATCGTTTCAGCGTCTTTCCTGAGTTTGTCTTCTATGACTTCCAGCGACCTCTCCAACTTCCAGGTATGACCGCTTTGCTAGTTGAAAACTGCCTTTGGCATAAGCTGATATTATCGCCTCAGCTCATCTGAAGGGCAGTTTGGATAGTGTTATAATTGACCCTCCATTCTTCAGCAATGACTGCCAGACAAAGTGTAAGTAATGCTCACAGTCGTCCTGGTCACTGTCCATAGGATGTTACCCTCCAAATTCAGTACTAACATATCACCCGCTAGTTGCCCTAACAGGCCGCTGGCTCGTCAAGCCGAAGTCGCCTCGTGTGATTGTCTGCACGGGAGAACGAATGGCTACCATTGTTGACAAGCTCTACCGTTCTCTTGGAGTCTATGCGACAACCTTCGAGCCTGCTCACGCGGGTTTAAGTAACCACTATTACTGTTACGCCAATTTCGAGAGTTCAACCTGGGACTGGCGATCTGATGAATCAGATTAGAGAAGCTGAACGGGAGATGCGAGGCATTCAGAGATGACACCCACTACTGGAACCGCCTCAAGTTCAGGCCTCGGAGGTATACAGGAGACCGGGAAACGAGTCACATCGTACAATGACTTATGGATTATCTGGGGATATGCCAAACCCAGTGAAGTTCATCACAGATAGAGAAAAAGACACATCTGAAGAAACCATGGACTGCCCTACTCAGTACGGTGTCACGGTATTACTAAACTACATATATGCGCTGAGCAATGCTCCATACTGCGCTCAACCTGCAGCTGATATACGGATCCAGTCGATTTATTGATCATGATCATTAACGCCTCTCTGGCTCTCCTCATCTAGACCCCCAATCGCCTAGGCTAGCGAGCGAATGATGTAGAAAAGGAGATAAGCCTGTGCCCCAAGGACATCAGACAAGCTCGCCAACTCGACTTTGTGATCATTAAACTTGAACCACTGAAGAGACATGTCAGCTTTGAGAAAGTGTCATAAGGAATGAAATTTACCTGGTCGCCGACCCGACAAAATGATGTATAATGGCCAGTGTCGATCTCACCCACATGAACCACAACACTAAGGAGGTCATAGGTGCATGATCGCTCCAGCTCAAGGCTCTCTCGACTCTCGTGGTTGCGAACGCGATTGGTATACGGTAACATGTTGAGCTGAAGAGGGAATTTGACTTCATTGTCGACTTTTGACGCGGCACGATCGTGGCGGCCATGTTTGTACTCAAAGCGCTGTGAAGAAAAGAGTTAACTTGGCGGACCAACACCAACACTCACAAGCCGCCGACTACACTCACCTTAAGCTGTATCGACAGAACGTTTGGCAGCCGCTTAATGCTGGTATGTCGTTTGGCTTGTTGAGTCCCGTTGCAGTTGTTGCACCGATACTCGCACTTGTCATACTTGATGTATTCTTCGTCTAAGCAATCCTGCAAGGTTAGAGAAGGCTTCTTCTGACCAGTCCTCTTGCTCTTCTTCTGGACAACATTTTCGAGACCTAGACTTAGATCAAGGAACGACTGGATGGAATTACTCTGGCCTGAGCAATTCTGGCATGTCGTCGTAGTCTGCATCTTGCCGTAAAATGTCTGATGCATGATACAATTGCAGCTATGTTCGCTGCCGATTTCCGGCTTCTTGCCATCGCCATTCCGTTCATGAAGCTCTTCAGCCAAGAACTGGAAGAACTCATGAGCGTCTTGTTCTTTGGTGGTAACAAGATTCTCGAATGCCTTCTTCTCGGAGATCCAGAAACCTGACAAGATATTGGCAGCAGTATAACCGTTGGTGTTCTCCAGGGCGTAAAAATCTTGGAACATATCGTCCATTGCACAGCTCAGGCAGTGAGAGACATTGCAATCATTGCTCTGGTGACCATCGCTTAAGTAAAAGTTCCTGAGTAATGGGTTGTGCAAGAAGCTTTGGAGAACAACGTTCTGATAGCAGGTCGCACCGGCGTTGTAGATGCCGCGCAGGCCGTTTGCACGACAGGAGGCGGTCGTAGTATTGTTAGTAATATACCGAGGGTCATCCTTCATAGAGTCTGAGAAGAGCTCATTGTGTTTTCTCTTGCGACCTGGTCAACAGTTAATTTCAGGCGACAGAAAACTATCCACGAGCGACGCAGCGGTCAAAGACACAGCCATTCGTTTTCATCATGTATCGCGTATGGACGAGCCTTGACTTGATGCATCTCCGCACACAACCGCTTACCAGAAAAAGAGCCAGTCCCTATCTTTCTCACCCGAAGCTCCTCGAGAGTCGGGTCCCAGACAAAATCGTCGCACATCTGACAGTACAGGCAACCGCTCCGAGAGTCAACATCTGCGCCAGGGTTAGCAAAGCAGGCAGCAGAAAGCAGGAGCACAAGGTTACTAACAGAATCGGTGCTGTTTCTTGGTTCCATGTTTCAATCGATCTTCCTCGGACACGGTCATGGGACATTGTAGGCAGAGGTAGTTCGAGGTAAGGGTTGTAACTGGTCGGCCCTCTTGTGTTGAGGTTTGGGGGACGATGGGTGTCGCATCGAAGATGTTGCGGAGGATCAACTTGTAGTGCGTGATCGAGCTGTTCATGACCTCTTGGTTCTTGCTGAGAAGGAGTTGTACATGCTCTAGGGACAATTAGACAATGATACAGAGGGACAGAACAGTGGGTGGCCATACCACAACCGAACATTGGTGATCCGGGGACCGGAGACTTCACCTTGATGTTCTTAGGTGAGGCCGGGGTTGTCGGTCGCCCAGACATTGTGAGGAATCAAGCCTTCGCGGCTAGAGTTTTGCTACAGCAATTGAAGCTCGTGGTAGGCGGATGAAGCTGGTTGATGTGGCTGGTAAAAGGGAGCTCGATTCGTGATCCAGCGGATGTGGCCAAGAGTTACTGTACGGACGGTACACTCGAAACCTCACGTATAAAGACAGGCTTGCTTATTCTTTAAATCTTGATCGGTTCGTTGTACGTTCGTTCGTTCGCTCGCTCGCTCGCTCGTTTATTTATTCGTCCCTTTGCCTGGCGGGTAATGCGATGGTGTACAAGGCTGAAGGATGCACGCGAGGCACAGAGTTGCATGAATATGCAGTGCAACCAGCAAACAGCAAGCCGAAAGTCGGACAATTGGTGGCCAGCCTCAAATATCAAAGATTAATGAGCTGTAAGAGGCGAATGAGCGTCGAGAGGTGGCCGCTAAGGAATTAAACAATAGAGATGAAAGGATCAAACTCTGTTGTTGCGCCTATTGATTGTTCCTTCAATTAATAGAATAGATTAAGTAAGTGCATGCATGCGTGCGTGCATGGTTGGGTTGGATGGATAATAGAAGCGCAGGAGTGGTATTGGAGGCCACTGTCACTCACTGTAAGGTAAGGTACTGACTGTAATTAGGAGAGATTAACAACGGCGGGTGCAGGCTCCCTAAAACTTAGTGTGCCGGGTACCTTGTGGTGTAAGATTGGCGGGTAGATACATCATCAAGTCATGGAGGCGCTCATGAAAATTATACCCATGTCATGCAGGGCGATAAGATAACGATAGCCCACGTTAGTACCTTTCCCAGCCTGGCACTAGTCTCACCAGCTGAACCTCATATTAACCGCGACCACGGCGCGTCTAACAGGCACATTGACTGATAACGTTGTAGTTGATAGTCACTTGAGAACAGTTTTTCTCTGTATCTGAAATCTCTATTATAGTTTCTGATATGTAGTATCAAATAAGAGTATGCCTAATAATTTATGATGTGCAAAGTGATGCCTACTACTCTCTCCCTCTGTCACGTCAATATGCACTTAGAAGAGGAGTACCGTTCGTGCCGAGGTCTATTCATTCTCTATTGAATAGGTAAGCAGTTTATATTGCCGGATGACGACAGCCAGCTCCCTCTCTACCTCTTGTAGATCAATATCCTCTTCCTATTTCTATCATCTTTCGTCCTTGATCTACGCAGACATCTCTCAACCTTGAGCTTATTTGGCTACAGCAGCAACGGGGCTCACAGTCTCCACTGTCTACCGAACTCCCGGCCCGACTTTGCGGCATCCCGGCTCCGGCACCGATAGTTTCGTTCATACGGGTCTCCGTTCCTCCACCTTGAATATTACACTACCAACAACTGGAGCACCATGGCAACTCAACTCATTGCTCTGCCAGCTGTAGAGCGTCTCAGTCCTGCAGTCATCCGCATTCTGGGCGGCAATCCGGGCAAATTCACTCTCCAGGGCACAAACACATATCTTCTCGGTACAGGTCGTCGCCGGCTTCTCATTGACACTGGCGAGGGCCGTAACGCTTGGATCTCGTCAATCCGCGAGACTTTACAGCAGGAGAATGCGACTATAGATACCGCGCTGATCACGCACTGGCATCATGATCATACTGGTGGTATCAAAGATCTCTTGAGCATCTCACCACAGACGAGGATCTTCAAGCACAGTCCGGAGGAAGGGCAGCATGGAATCAAGCACGGGCAGCGCTTCCAAGTCGACGGCGCTACGTTGACAGCAGCGTATACGCCAGGACATACAAAGGATCATATGGTGTTCGTTCTCGAGGAAGAAGACGCAATGTTCACAGCCGACAACGTCCTCGGCCACGGGACTGCGGTATTTGAGGACATGATCACGTATCTACGAAGTCTAGAAGAAATGAAACTTCTGTTCAAAGGCCGAGCATACCCTGGACATGGGCCGGTGATTGAGAATGGACCAGCAAAGATTGCCGAGTACATCGCACATCGAAAACAACGGGAGGATCAGGTCATTCAGACGTTGAGAACGGGACCTGGCGAAGTGGAAACTCAGGAATCGGCATTGTGGTCGGCATGGACTGCGACAGATCTGGTCGAGGTGATTTACAAAGATGTGCCTCAGAATCTGCACCCAGCAGCTCGTGGCGGTGTTTTGCAGATACTGGGAAAGCTGGAGAGCGAAGGTCGCGTAGCTCATGATGGTGACGAATGGAAGCTGCTGGTAGATGGGCGGGCGTCTCTATGAGTTTGGGCTATAGTGGTGGATAATGGATAGACAGTGGTGTATTTCCGAATTGCCGTGATAACGTTGGTAGTTATTCATCATTCATTACCCGAAAGGCCATTGTGAGGAGCCGTGTTTGCTCGGGAATACGGACTTTTAGACAACATGGACAGGACTGAACTGGGTCTAGTTTGTGGCATGATTTGGGCATGCCAAGAGCTGAGTTTTGTAGCAAGTTTGTACGGTAAACTTGGTAGCGAGATGAGGCAGGGCCTTCGGCAGCGTCGGATCATTCACATAATCCAAGTCTTCGATGTGATATGGACGGACCTTGAGGATGGGGATTTACTACTGACTTGACTTGGCTGGTGGGGATCGCAACTGGGTTCTGATTTTGGGAACACACCCCTGTCTGCTAACGCAGCCACTCTATCGAACAAACCCACGGCATTCTGATGGTGAAGTGTAAGCAGATCAGTCCTCTTGATGTTGTGATGCTACTGTACATAGACTACCTACAGCTTCAGTTCGGCCGATTACGGAGACTGGCTGCAATGCAATGCAATGTCGTCACATCAGATCCCAAGCTCCCCATGCAAGTACAGTACAAGAGCTACCCGTCTCTTGAGACTGCAACATTAAACCCGTCGTTTACGGATAGAGGTACATGTGTTTCATGCAGTCACAAACGGTCCAATTTTGTCCGAACATCATACGACAGACCCTAAAAAGTAAGAGCTCGATGATACATGATTAACCCGTTGATTATTACCTTACCTTACCTTACAGCCTCGGTGCTCAAACTGCGGAGTGTTCGGGAGTAAATTCTGGCGTATAGCATACGTACAAACATGCGTATACCTGACAAACGGAGACGAGTTGACCACGAGTTACCGCTCTTGGCGAGATCATTGTATTCACTCTTATTTGCTGGCTCGGGTTGTAACCCAAGACAGCTGACTCTTTTGGGTGTAATACACACGATGAATGCAAGTCAGCACCATAGATAGACACGACAACTAAGCGGGCGGTGAGCCAGCACATCATGAACGATCCGATAATTCTGTCCTAGATTGGAATAGAAAAGTTTCTGCTTCTTATTATGCACATCTTCTTTCAACCGAGTTGTGTATTGCAAAACGAAGCAATTTGTCAGCGGAGGGGGTAATCTAGGGTAATTTGATATCATGGCGGTACTCATAGCCGTCCAACTTGAGCAAATATTCCTTCTCTCTCATGACCCTTGTATTTTACGCCCGGCTTCAGGCCCTTCCCTGCTCATGGGCATGGTTATGTGATGCCTTGTGACCATCTTGACAGCTCAAGGTTGGTGGGCTGTGACCCTGTTTAATGGTATGCGTCTCTGTCTTTCTCTTTGACCGGCATCATCGGGCACACGGAGACGGAGATAATGATAAAGCCTGCAAATGCCGTCAGGCAGGTACTTGAAGTCTGGTGCTCAGACCTACAGTTACAGTCACATTTCTTGATCTTGATCAGAGATCCGCGATTGCCAAGACACTTCGGTATGAATCATCCGTAGTCATCGATGTCCATAATAATAAGGAAAGTTTCCGTGAAAAGTTCCCTTTCGGTTAGCACAGACTAACTATCAAGCGCATGTAAGTTAAACGCACGCATGGCGTATAGAGCGTAGCAACTACGCGCTGTCGTTGTGTTATATGTAGTATGCTTTCTTTGTCAGCCCTAAACGAATATTTGACCACACTAGACGTCATATCCAGCCTTATCGTTTACACTGCACAGACGTAAAAACTTTGTAAAGTCAAGAGCTGATGAGAAAGTGTGCGGAATTGTCGGCGTAGTTGGGTTGAATTATGTGGAGATGCTGGACCGGGATTATACAGTACCTAAGGAACACACTAACACATCAGAGAGGTTGAAGCCCGCTGTATCCAATGAATGACACTGTAGCTTTACTTTACAGCAGGATGAGGTAACTAGCGCCAAAGCTGTCGGCATTAAATCTCTCCATGGTGCATGATAATGCCTGTAAAGACGAAAGCTCTCATGTGGATTTCGGCATTTTACTTGATACCAGTCCGTGCTTTGACATCGGTGATGGTGATGGAGGGCCTGGACAAGTCAGTTTTGAGTAACAATAGATGAAAAGCCACTGTTGGTACGTGTAGAGCTTATGATTGAATATTCGTAATTCACTTGTAAGCCAGTGGAGTGAGTGAGTGGCTGACTGCCCGTTCATCGGATCCGAGGCGTGGTACTGTTACCAAATGTGGTGAAGGGTTGCGATGCTTGCATTGCAGCAGGAGGTTACACACACAAGTTCTTGTGACCAGTGACTAAGATCTCTATACTCGGTGAGAATAGGATGGAAGAGGAGGATCCATCCAACCACGCATGGCCCGTGATATCCACTTAATCTCCGCCGAAATGCCTTGACGTTCTTCGAGAAGATGCCTTTTCCAAAGTTTCCGTGCCGATCGATCGATCACGCTGACCATGAACGGACTAGAAACGTAACTATTCGGAACCAACAGATCCTCAAAGTAGGTACAGTACAGTACAGCACATGGGCCCCGCGGACCACGCTTAGCGGGGCCTGTCCTGATGACCTATCTAGGAAGTGCATGTACATAATGTACAGTGACCTCTACGATGCTGCATTGGTGGGTGTACTGAAGCTGTACTGTTAGTAGTTAGATGGCACCCCCCCATCGGCCGGCCCCATTTTGAGGATCCCCCACTATCCATCCATCCAAATGCTTACCGCATTTATCATTTATTTATTTTTTTACCTTGTTGTGTTATTTTTTCCTTGTTCAGAGGTAAAGGTACAACTTCCCATGATGAAGCAATTCGGAAGCTTCGGATGGTCAACTGCTGCGTATCCTCTCTTGGCTCTCGTCGCTTTGTCTCCGACTGACCAAGAGATTCCAATGCCTCGCCTCAGCTTATGACCTGTTTTCGGCCGCTCGGGCCCGGATAGGTAGTAACAATACAAGATCTCGGGTTTGTTTTAAAACAATGCCATGTCATGATTTCTTGAAACGCTCTTCGTTTTGACGTCTACTTGATCGCATGATTATACATGTCCTCCTACTTGTGTCTTTCTGGCCGTAAACGAGTATAATTACTGCTTGCGATCTCTTCTCGTCCAGTTGCATAGTATCTATTGTTTCCTTCTGCCGACAAATCTTTCTGGACGTACATACGTTGCCAACATGATTTATACAAAAACGATATCGCCCGCATCTGGCGCATTGCTCCTAGCGCTTCTACCTGTGGTAATTGCGCATGGTGGTGGTGAAAGTATGGACATGGACATGGGAATGCATGCCAGCAACACAACGACACAACCGCCCAACAGCGACGACTATCCCAATACATACTTTGCGCATACTGAACATATTGGAGTCATATACACACATATTGCATTAATGGTTCTTTCTTGGGTATTTATCCTACCAATTGGTAAGTTTTCATGGTGTTGAGCTTTATGCGCCGACTAACACCACCAACCCCAGCCGTCATGTTCTCACTGGCAAACTCTCGCTTTACACTACCGGCGCAGTTTATTTTCTTAGCTACAAATACTCTTGGAGTTCTGGTCGGCGTGATATATAATGCGCAGACCCCAGACTTGTACCCAAACAATGCGCACCACAAGATTGGCTGGATTGTGACCTGGGTCGTTTGCGCCCAAGTCCTTGTAAGTGCCGTGGGCTGTATCGCGGGTGCTCTAAGGGGCAAAGGAAAGACGCCGAGTAACGAGACACATGCTTTTCTACCTGTCGCCACGCAAGAGGCCGACTACCCTTCACACAATGGCTACCACAATGACAGCCCCTACCGAATCTCCAACGACAGTGGACGAGGAACCGAACCAAACACACCCTCGCTTCGAAGCGACTCGGCATCCACGCTCAATGGCATGGAGTCGCCTGTCAACAATCCCAGCAAGGAGTACGAAGACGATGATGGCGACCTAGAGGAATTGTCACTGGCCTCTCCTGAACCTCAGGGAACCTTTGCTCGCCACGCCTCCAAGATCGCTGCTTCGCGAGTATGGAAGTATCTGAACTTCGGCCGCTGCATAGTCGATCGTATTATCATTCCCTTCGGCTTCATTGCGCTTGCGACTGGCGTTGTCACCTTTGGTCGTTTCTTTGTAAGTTGCTAGTTAGACACCCTGGCTGCGACACTTGACTAACAAATCTTCTTAGGAGGGAGGCGGAATTTTCAATGGATTGGCGCATTGGATCAAGGGCGGTGTTTTCTTCTGGCTAGGTATCTTCACCCTCGGCCGCTGGACTGGCAGCTTTGGAGAGCTTGGCTGGGCATGGAATGTTCGACCAAGACAGGACTCCCAGAAGTGGCGCCCTTCCGCTGAGTTTGTCGAGAGCTTCTTGATCTTCTTCTATGGCGCTACCAATATCTTCATGGAGCACCTCGGCGGTTGGGGAGGTGACTGGACCGCCCAGGACATGGAGCACATCTCCATCACAGTTCTGTTCCTTGGAGGGGGCTTGGTAAGTCTTTCGATCTGCCACAGTCGATCATTCCCATAACAAAAACTGACTTGTTTCTTTAGTGCGGTATGCTCATCGAGTCGACACGTATTCGCCATCTTCTCAACACAACCGTGGACGATGTTCAACCCAAGAGCCCTTACACGGTCGAAGAAGCAAACGAACCTGAAGCTCCCGACACATACGAGTTCTCTCTCAACCCCATACCGGCTTTGGTCATCATGCTGCTTGGACTCATGATGAGCTCCCACACACAACATACCATGATGTCCAGCATGGTTCATAAGCAATGGGGTGACCTCCTTCTAGGGGCTTCACTTGCTCGAGGTTTGACATACCTCATAATGTACCTGAAGCCACCCAAGTCCATTCTCCCATCACGACCACCGACGGAACTCTTGGCTGCTTTCGGTTTGATCGCTGGAGGTATCATCTTCATGGCTAGTGTATGTCGAGGGTCCCTGAAAAGAGAACCAAATCGCTAACTTGAAGTAGAGCACCGATACTGTCGACGGAATGATCCACTACGAGCTCGACGCCATGTTCATGTACACTGTCACCATGGGTCTGGTCGCCCTCCTGATGGCTTGGGTCGTTATCGTCCTCGCCATCAAGGGTTGGGCTGTCCGACTAGAACGACGGCGCAATTCGAATTAGACCGTGCATATGAACATACTGATGAAGGAATGACATATTGCCGTGATTCGGCCCTGGAGGAAGACAGGTGTATATATAGATTGATTTTATTGCGCGCTTGATGTAGTGTAGACTCTGCTTTGAGATACCCTTATGCAATAACGGCTGCTAAATGACCTAATTCCTCAATCTGACTTTTCCCCGTTTAACTGGGTTGACGACATGCTCTGACGCATTGTAGTACAGTCTCAAGCGTTCTTGGTGCCAATAAAACAGCTTCCGATCTGCAAAGACGAACACCATCCTTGTGATTTGGCATGCCCTTGTCTCGTGGGAAGTGGTGAAGAGTGGCTCTCACGAGCTCACTTATTGCAAAGGAGCGCATTTGAAAAGCTGTCGTGCGTTCACGGCAGTAGAACGAAATGATCTGGACTGGGTATATAGACTACAGCCTGCTCACGCATCCCCGTCCCTGGTCTTTGGTGCAGCAACCACTCTCTTCTGGTCCTCAGGGGAGAAAAGTCCCGCACCCTGTTGTAGAGCGTGAACAAGGAAAGGAATAGAATCGGCCTTGAAGTCCTCTGCGTTGCGAACTTTGTCAAGGTCCTCGGAGAGTTCTTGTGTTGCGCGTTGAAGGTAGTAGGAGGTAAACTCCGGAGAGGACTGATTGGAAGGCTTGGAAGACATTTCGATGTGTTTGATAAAAATAAACCAGAACTATTTGGTTTGACGAAGGTACTCCCAGTGATGTTGACTGTCGGGTTTGTGACTCTCAAAAGGTTCACGTTCACCTTGGGCGGAAAGACTAAAAACTTTAGCTAGGTAGCAAAGTCTTGACAGTGCGAAGAATCTACAATATGTCATGAGCACTGTGTTCACCTGTCATGACTTCAACGGGATAGAAGCCATGATACAGAGTAAATCGAAGCATACAGATAGATTTCCCAGTTCTCCCAGTGGATTGAATATAATGACTCGCGGTGAATATAGGGCGGTACAATAGGGTGATAAGCCGCCAACATGTGGTATGGTTGAAGGATTTCACAACGCAATATATGGAACAAATTGGTGCAAAGCCCAGTGTGCTCTGGGTTACTTGTAGTATTTTATATTCTATCAGTATTGTTTGACATCTAATGTCACTCTACAGTGAAGCCTGTCTACCTAGACAGGTCTGGGATGAAACTCCATAAAACAGATCATGACCTTCCAATACCGCTAATCCACAATAACGCCCCGAATGCCTCGTGAACATGAATCATTAAAGCCACACAGCTGATAACTTAGTGAGAAATGTACTGGAACACAGCAGAAACCTCGGACTCTCCACATTCTTGCCTCAAGAGCAAGTCCTGAATTGGCTTCAGTCCTTCGTTGACAAAATGATTCCATGTGCTGGTGTCACCATACAGCATGGCCGGCGCCTTGATATACTGCTTGCCATCAGGCTTACACCGCTTGCACTTGAACGTCTCATGAGTGTCGCTCTTGGTATCTGGCCGGTACTGGAAAAGCTCACGGAGACTGTCGAGCGAGAAATGTCGTTCAACATCTTCCGCCGAGTCCACAACGCAAGAAGATAAACTCTGTTTGTGAGACTGGCGCTGGAAGATCTTCTCCTCGATAGTGCCCGTTGCGATGAAGCGGTACACGAAGCAGTCCTTCTTTTGTCCATCGCGCCACACTCGAGCAAGCGCCTGTTGATCAGCAGCCGGGTTCCAATCGGGGTCGAATAGCACCAGCCGGTTCGCGCCAATCAGGTTGATACCACACCCACCGGCCTTGCTGCTCAGTAGAAAGACGAATTCGTCACCTTCAGGGTCGTTGAACCGATCAACAAGCTTCTGACGCTTGTTGACGTTCATGGTTCCGTCGAGTCGCAAACATCCATACTGACGAGAGCGGCACATTCGTTCAAAAAGATCCAGTGTTGAAGTATAGTTGCTAATCAACACAATCTTGTCGTTTGTATCTTGGCGGATGCGAGCCAGCATGCGATCCAACACTGCCATTTTGCCAGAATACCATGACTTGATCTCGCGATCTCGACCACGGGATTCCTTAGGTACATAGTCGTCTGGGAAGCACTGCTCTGAGCCCGGCAGATCGTCTGCCATGTTCAAAAGATCAGGATGGTTGCAGAGCTTCTTGAGAATGTTGATGGCCTTCAGAGGCTGACTTCCCTTGCCTCTCAGGAGAGCCTGAATGTCAGGACTCTTGATGAAGTAGTTGTAGAGGTCAAACTGGAAGGGTGCAAGATTACAGAACACAACGTGCTCGTACTTGACAGGCAAGTACTTGGAAAGGATGTCGTTTGTCCGACGAATCAGGAACTTGTTGACAACATTAAGCAATGCCGCAGTGCTCTCATCGCCCTTCTTTCGATCTTCCTCTGACGCATCAGCATCTCGACCACGGAGGATTGGAATCTCGTAGCGTTTGCGAAACTCCAGTCGTGTGCCGAGCAGATCGGGATTTGCAAAACTTGTGAGCGAGAAATACTCCGTGAGATCATTCTGGATAGGTGTGCCTGTGAGAATAACACGCCGCGAAACATTGAGACTGTTGAGAGCGTTGAAGGTATTGCTGTCGCTATTTTTGAGACGATGTCCCTCATCACAGAAAAGCAGGCCAATCTTTGTGTGCTTTAGCTCCTCCACGTTCAGCCGTAGAGTTTCGTAGGAAACAATGATAACTGGCCTGGTGACGGCCCGTCCGCTAGCGATTGCCCACTGTCGAAGCTGGCGCGTCAGTTCCTCTTTAGACGCCTTTCCATCGATGGCGAATGGGTTGATGGCATTAGGACCAAGCCACTTCACCAACTCGTTGGCCCAATTTTTGACCAAACTGGCGGGACAGACAACGATTGCTTTCTGAATTGTCGGCTTCCCAGCATCGGGAGATTGCTTGAGTAGTGTCCACATCAGAGAGATGCACTGAAGAGTCTTTCCGAGACCCATTTCGTCGGCCATAATGCAGCCATTGGCCTTCTCATCAATTAGACCAGTAACACATCGATACATAAATTTGACACCTTCGACCTGATGGGGACGAAGGATCTTGGCCAGCTTCGGGTCAATGACGACTGGAACACGAGGGTGTTCGCCGTCCACCTTCTTCTTGATTCCGAGAATCTCAGCAAGACTCTTGTGTACGAGTGGAGCGTCAAGTTTCCCGTCAGCAGCTTCTGTCTTGGCGGGCTCAATTGCCTTGGGGACATCTTTTGGTTTGTCGTCGACAGTCGGGTCATGAAGGACAATTGCGAATTCACCACTAGGGTCATGTAGGGGCTTCGCAATGAAGACTGCACCTTGCCGCAGACCCAGTGTAGGAGGGGCACGATTGGGGTTGTATGCAGCGCTGTCCTTGTTCTTCAATGGAACGGAGAAGGCCTTGCGGAAAACGAGATCTTTATCTTTGGCCTGGAAAACGGGGAAACGGTTGATATCTCGAGTGGCAAGCGCAAGCCTGTCGTCGTTGGAGTATGGTTTATCATTATCTGCTTCACCGTCGGCACCACCGTAATCCACCTTTCTTCGCTTGCGGGAAGGTCGATCAACAGCTGGACTTCTTCCAGCGACACCAGGGCATTTGAATGGTTTGTGAAGACGGTCAATTGAAGAGGGCGTTGGCATCCGCTTTCCTAGAGTTTTGTCCTTGCCGGCGAGTGGCGTCGCGACGAGAGGGGATCTAAATTGATTATTAGAGCTTGCAACAACGCGCTCAAGTGTCCTGGCACTTACGCTGCTCCCATCTTGAATATTTTCTCGTTTCAGAGACTTGTCGAGCGATTGTTCCAAGTATGAAAGATTTCTTGCCACGCCAGTGAGAATCAATGGAGGGTAAATACTAGGCAAGCGCGATGACAGTGACTCGACGCGACAGCAGGCAGAAACACGCTATCACGTGAACCGCCACTAGCTCCCAGTCACTGACTGTAGGCTCTATCATCCCCCGGCAAAGACCCCGAAACCACCGAAAGCTCGGACTCGAAAACTTAAAAGCCTCCACTACCTTAGCTTAGGTAACATCCATTGGATCCATCGGGATCGGTCCAAGAATCAAGTTTGTCGTTCGGTTCATGATGGGACCAGAACAATTGGCAAGGAATATATCTTCTCCTTTTCTCCTCTTCCCTTTATACATACAACTCACTCGGTCAAAACCCAGCCAAAGATGATAACTGAAAGCCAATTTGCTGCAACGTCGTCAGGGTAGGTCACCGCTGATCATCTGCTTTCTCATTACATATCTATGCGGCTCTGAAAGACCCTGGATCACTAACACATGCCTTGAAGCGTCAATCTCTCCAACTCCGATCAAAGCCGATCAGCTAGTGGAGATCCTTTTGCCGACCATCAATCCTCTGGGCCGACCCCTCTTCAAGTAGCAATTGCTCGACATCGCACTGGAATTTTGACTGCAACTGTTGCTGGACACTTTGCGCATTGGCAATATCTTACCCGGTTTCGTCGAATTAATGTCCAGGCTACTGCGAATCGCGCTCCTCTTGCACGGCTCGGCTTGGCCTGGGGCCTCGTATACCTCGGCGTCTTGAGCACTATCACTGTGGCTCAGCGCAAAGTGTCAAGGAATACTGATCATCTTCTCTCCCCTATAGAGTCTACAAAAATTGTCTCATAATGTCGGCTGATTTCTGGGCTGGCTATCTCAGTGGTGCTGTTGGAATTATCATCGGAAATCCTCTTGATGTGATCAAAGTTCGACTTCAAGCACAACATACCAGTCCAGTGACGAACCCACCTGTTTGTTCGATCCCTACAGGAACAGCAGCAGCGGCTTCAGCCATCAACCAGAGTGCATCTTTCAGCACGCGGTACCTCGGATCATACGCCTCCCTAGTGACCGGAACTGCAGCTCCAATTCTCGGCTATGGTGCGCTGAACGCCTTGCTCTTTGTTTCTTACAATCGAACCGAGGCGGCATTGAATAGCGTCTTCTCAACATCTGGAAACTTGTGGAATACCTGGCTTGCTGGCGCGGTGGGCGGTCTTGCAACC